CCCCAAAACCCCAAAACCCCAAAACCCCAAAACCCCGTCAATTATTAGATCAATTGAATAATAATTATTTTTATTATGGAAGAAAATTTTCTCCCGAACGAAAGTTTGGAGAAATTAGCAGATCATGCACACGCTCTTAGTGATTTTGAACAAAATTTTGGTATGCTACCAAAGCTGGGCATTATCCCATTTCCTAATTAAAGATTAGTAAAAACCTCTTATTTGCTGCTTAAATATCTCAATATGTCAGTTTTAACATCCAGATTTAGATAAGAACAGCCTCGACGCGAACCAGTTCTCAGACCCGGGGTCACCATTTGAGAATATCTGTAAAATTTGACTATAAATTTTAGTAATAGAGGAGGAAGACCCTGAAGCAAAAATCAGGGAGAAGCACAAAGCAGTATGAAATTTCTCACCCTAACCTGACTCCTTCTTTAGGAATTTATCGGAATAATAGAGAAGATCAAGAACGGGTTTGAGTCCACACCTGGCTTAGACGAGAACCGGAAGAAGGTGGGCCTTGAGGTCTTTCAGAAAATCTTTGAGATGATAAAATAACTTTGAATACTCTTCTTGGTTCCTCATTGAACAGCAAAGTTCTACCGTTCTCTCTACTATTAACACCGAGATGAGGAGCAAATTGAAAGAATTTAATGTCGAGAGCGTCTGACAGCAAATAGAGCAGTATGTTTATGACAACATTAAGAAGAAGATTTATTCAGATTCAACTGGGCTAGACCAGAAGAGCATATATAATTACCTCAAGAATATTGATGGTGAGTTCATGACTGAGTTTCATCATTTTTATGCTACCAAAATTCACCTTTTATAGAGCATTATCAGAAGTGCACTCCCTCATTCTTGTCAAGCTGTTTCGAAGAGCTTGAGTTTTACAAAATGCCTCATAAAGAGGAGAAAGTTAAATATTGCGGTAAGTTTACAAAGCCTTGGGTTCTTATTAGAGCTATGCATAATGTTTAGAGGAAGCTTGGAAAAGATACGGTCCAAAGGAAATTCAAGCTATCACAAATAATTTCAATTCCAACTGTGTATACAACACTGAATGAGGTACTTGTCAGTCAGAGAGATTTGTTTAATTCCTTCATTATAGGTTTCGATCTAAGCCTGACCTCTCTTAATCCAAAAATTGCAGGAGTTCCTCTAGGAGCATTCAATAATGACATCATTGATATTTTGTACCTCTGCATCAAGGAACAAGAGATAAAGGATTATTATGGACTTTCATAATAAGGATAAGTTTCAATTGCAATTTCTCCACCTGTTGGCTAACTTAATTCGAGAATTCATGAATACTCGGGTCCAAGAGGCCTCTGTCTCAAATAGATGCTGATTCTATGCTCAATTCTACCCTAGAGGCAGGGGTTTTGGGGTTTTGGGGTTTTGGGGTTTTGGGG